ATATTCCGTTTAACGAGTGTTGAATGACTTAAAAGCTACTCACATCTTTTATCATAAAGAATTAATATGTTTTTCGTAGTTTTCTTCATATTTCTTTCTTCCAAATTTACTTCATAGTGAAGTGAAGATTTCTTTTGTTCTTATGATGTAGAATATACATCACAGTTTTACAAAGGATAGAATCATCAGGTAATGTGTATATTTCATGAGAAAGTATCATTCAGCATTATCATTTTTTATCTATTTTACAAACAACATATCAAGTGATGACGCACTGACAACACTAGTATTAATTATGCTACATATTGGTTCATTTATATATATCAATTTTTTTTATTCAGCTAATTACAAATTTTAAATGTTACTGTCCGTAAACTTTTTATATCCAGAAGAATATGTAAATAAATATTAGAAATAACCTTGTTTATATAGTTCATTTTCACACACACACACACAAAACCATGATTACAATACAAATTTTATATATTATTCGATGAATGAATTTCTATTTCTGTTTAGAAAAGTTGTGTCTATCTATCACAATTAAAAATTCGGTAATGTTAAAATTTTGAATAAAAGATGTTCTAGTGCCTAAAACCCTATCGAATGCCCCCTTAAGACCAAGTGAAAACATGTTTTCGACTTTTCTTTAACCAAAATCTAAAGTTTACAAAACAGAGGAAGATTTAGTCATTTAGATTTGGTCTCTAAAGTAGTCTAGAAGGGAAATCTAGTGAGGTATTAATAATGTTCTTTTCATATATTTTAATTTACATCTTTAGTTTGTTGAAGCTTAATACATTAATGAATATGAATGCATGAAACTCGATAAAGCAGAGATACGGGGTGTGTGCGTGCGTGTGTGGGTTAATATTGAGGTTTTAAGTGCGTGCCTTTTTGTACAGCTATTGATACTATATTTTATTTCCAATATTATTAAGATTACGCACTAACCCCGTGATTGATTTGGTCTTTTTTTTTATACTTGTTTTTAATAACTCCCAAATCTTAGTGCATGATAAAGATTCGTGTGGGTGTGTAACCTTATGTTCCACTTTAATTTGGACTCAATATGACGTCATTTCCCTTGCAAATGACATTTGATTTGCTCTTGTCGATGTATATATAATACTTATATAGTTTTTACTTTTTTTTCTTATTGGCAAGGTAAAGCCTAATAAGGCATATTATACTTTAGGCCCAACCAATTTTGTTTATGAATGTTTAGACCAAGGCTTTACAATGTTATTTAACTCGGTTTAATATTTTTGTTGTTTCCTCAAACTTGTGCCAAAAAACACATACAATACAATATATACTTTTTTCTTTTCTAAAATGGTAGTTTAGTACAAGTCTATTGAAATAGTATTTAAGTTCATTCCACATAACGGGCCATATTGGTCTCTCGATTTTTTTTTTTTTAAAATAGTACTCAACTTTCTACAATTTTTGATAATCCAAGACAATGTCTACTAACGTATGAAAAAGTACCGACTCATTAATCTGACAAGACAGATAGTTGATCATGCGTTTGGTATTGGGAACACATGATAGTATGATACAAGCAGGTGGAGCACCTCCGTTCTTGACTAATCAGTTTTCTGGTAAGTTAACAAACAGACAACGAAACAATTTTTAAAAATTAAAAGATAAATGGTTCTTAGATCGAAAAGAGTAAAAATAAAAAAAGTTTAACAAAAAAAAAAAGACGGTAGACGTTGCGATCCCAATTCTTGTGCAATTCCAAATTCGTGAACTATTATGATGTTGTAGCATTTGCCTTTTATCTTACCACGTCATGTGGCATATAGTCTCATCGATGACAACTTCTCATGATTATCCATACCAATCGGTTTGGTCTTAACAAAAAAAAAACCAATTTGATTGGTTTAACTTTTTAAAATAGATATGTAGTAATTTAAAAATTGGATATGTATAAATACCTTCCTCGGTTTCACAATACGTTATCAATTATCATCTAGGTTATCGACACCCATTGATGAGCTTGTTTTATGCAAACCTACAGTAATCAATTTGGATATATGTTACATTTTTTAATTTTTTTTAAAGGAATAAAGTCGTGCAAGAAAGTAAATATGTGATTTTACATCGTTTACTATATAAAACACATTAAAAAAAAATTATAGACCAAAATAACATTCTATTATATGTATTTTTTTTTTTTACTTTACAAATCTTGTAAATAAGAGCAAATATATAAAATATGCATCAAAACTATTTATCTAAAAGTTAAATGTACACAACGAGCTTGGCAATGGTAAGCTCAAATTATTACATTTTTAATCTGCCAAAATACAATTTCTGAGAATTGGTGTAACTGAGAAATTGTATTTTGGCAAATTAAAAATGTAATAATTTAATTGCAAGCAAAAGAAAATTCGTGTAAAAACAAGATGAGACATTATACAAAGAGCTTGGCAATGGTAAATAATTAATACACGTTATCAAAAAGAAAAAAATATATTAAAATGAATGAAAGAAGGGAAATGCATGAGTGAGTCATTGTTATGGAGGACAAGTGTCC